CCTTTTTATAATAATTATGAAGAAATTCTAGCATTATTCATAATCCCCTATTAATATAAACTTCTCTTTTGGAGGGTAATATTTATGCTTTAAACTTATTTAGCCACCAAGAATATTTCTATTCTTCCTATATCTCAATAGGCAAAAAAGAGAATTTATTAGTTAATCAGATATTGATTTAACAAAATTATTTTAACAAAAGGAGGTTTCAAATTGGAAAGTTCATTAGAATTAAATTAACGATAATGTATATTGCGATTAAGAAATATATAATTCTAATTATTTTTCTGAATCCTAGATTGAAAAATCCCTTATTTAATTTAATCTTTGGATAATTGTAATTTTATGACATTTTTTCTGTAATTTATGAACACTCTTTTACTGATAAAATTTCTTTTAAAAATTCAATATCTGTATATAGAATAAAAAATAATTGTTATCATATTTGCTCTAAAAATGATGAAAGGTATGTGATAATATCAAAATGATTTTTGTAAAAACTGTTAATTTATCATAAAATAAAGTTTGAATAAAAAATTATCTAATACTTTATATTAAAAAAATTAGATACTTATTTGATTACACTAAAGCAAAAAGGTTTAATTAATTAATATCCCATCAAATTTTTACTTCTATTTGAATTAAAGAATTTAACAATGAACAAGTTAATATAAGAAGAATTAAGATATTCACAGATAAATCTTATATTCCATTATTTTTGAAATTATACAATTAAATAATTTTATCTAATAAAAAACTAAATAAAAAGGATAAAAGATAAACAAATTGAATTTAAATTCTGAAAAAAAAAATAATAATTCATCCATAAGTATATGTATAGTAATTTATCCAAGACCAGGTTGGTGATTGAATAAGAAATCTGATTTTTCATTAGTCTGATATCCTAAAATAGATTCTACTATAATTCGAAAGAGAGAGCTTTTTATAAAACTACTATCAATGCCAAAGAGTAAATTCTGTTTAGAATTAATCTATAAAATACCTTTGCCAGAAATTTAACTTAAACTAAAGCAACTAGAAGTATTTTTCTGTTAAAGTAAAATATCGAACATAAGATTTAATTAATCATCATTTTTTTCAATATAAATATAAATAGTAATTCATATTTTCATATTATTCTTAATTTGTAAATTAATTTTTATTTTATAAATAAAATTTTAAAGTCATTCAAAGTTTTTATTAAGACGGAGCTTACAAAATTACTTTAATAAATTGATTTATATATTGAATAGATCTAAAAAGAAGTTGAATCATAAGAAACTAAAATAGAAAAAAAGAACTTTGATGATTAAATTCAAATTCTATCATAAAATTATAAAGGAAATTTATGTTACAATATTTAATTATAAGAGATTAATAAAGAAAAAGATTTCTAATTAGCCTAATTTGTTTAAGAATCCCTATTATCTTACTCAAAATCATAGAATTTTGATTAAATTATGAAATCTATTGAATTGATAAAATCAACTATCCCAATAAATTTATCGACAAATATCATTAATGCAGTATCGACATAAGAACAAGGATCAAATGTAAATTCTTATCTAATTTTAGGAAAATAAGATTTGTAAAAAACATAACTAGGAAATAATTATGATTAATATAAGTTAAGAAAAATCAGAATTCAGTAGATGGGCTTGCATAGAATGTATTGAGGAAAACCCTATTTAATATGTTAGTTTAAAAGAGGCAAAAAAAATGTGGATTAAATACATAGATTAATCAAAGGATTTAATTTTTACAAAAACTGGTAGTAGAAAATAAAAATTATAAATTATTTTATAAAAAGTTAAGTAAATAAAAACCAATTTAAATAATTAACTATAAGAAATATTAATTATTATAGAAAAATAAATAACTGAGGATTATTAAACAAATGAGGATTTTCTATAATTAGGCAAAAAATAGATATTTGAATTAGAAAAAACTTAATTTGAAAAGTTAATTAATTTATTAATTTAAAAAGAGAAAAATAAAGAAATACAGGAACTATAAGAAAAATAAGCTATCCTTGATTACAAGGTTTATTCAAACATAAATACAAATTTAGATAGTCTTCTTGAAATTTATTTACTTAGTAAGTAATAATTATTAACTATTATTTTATAATAAGGTATTTATATTAAATATTAATAGATTCACAATAAATTGGAGTTAATAATTTTTTGGATACTAAATTGAGTCCTGAAATGCACTAGTTTATTTCTAAAATTGAAATTTAAATCTAGTATTTAAATAATCTCAATGAACCTATTAAATTATAATAAGAATTAAAGTAAGATAAACACATAGAACAACAAGAGTAACTAACCTAAACTATTTAATAAGAAGGTTAATGTTATTAATAATTGAAAAACAATGAAATATTTTAGCAATAATAATAACTTGAAATAACAGAATAATAATTGAGACTTTAATTTGAAGAAAAATAAGAGACTAATTAAATTAATTAATTATAAATAAAAGAAATTATAGTAATTTCAAAGAATATCAGAGATTTAGAAAATAATTTGAATAGAAGCATATAAATTTTGGATCAAGAGGAAGGACAATAATAATATCAATAACAAGATTTATATAAATAATATAATTTATAAGAAAAGTTTAATGTTTTTGATGAAAAATTACAACATTATTCTTAAATTAAGATATTGGAATAATATTAATAATCACTTAGTGAGTTGGTAAAAGAAGCTTAAAAATCAAATGAAACAATTTATTAGTTAAAAAATAATGTTGATTAATAGAATACATAAATATAAAAACTATTTGAAATAATTTAATTAAGTTAAAAATAGCAACATTTATTTGAGGCACTTTTAAAACCAAAAATTGAAATTTTTCTAAAACTTTAATTAATTCCTGGTGTAAAACCAACCTTATTAAATAATAATTTTTGGATTAGATTATTTTCTTACATATAAGAACAATCAAAAAAAAATGTAAAATCATCTTAATTAGTTTATAAAGGAAGTTAAGATGGATTAAATAGTAATTCTTTTTGGAATTGTTGTAAAGGTAAGGGTTATTTACTGATGATATTTAAATCTTTAAGTGGAAATGTTTTTGGTGGATATTCGCCCTGTGTATGGTAACATCACAGTGGCAATTATGTATAAGATGATTCATTAACATCATTTTTATTCTCTTAAAAACATGATTAAATATATCCTTTGATAAAAAATAGAAAATAATATGCGATTCGTTGTAATTCTAGTCATGGGCCTAAATTTGGATATGCTCATGATATAAGTATATATTCTGATTTTAAAAGCGGATATTCTAGAATAGGTGATACATATTAATGTAATAATTATGAGGATAAGTAATCGAGTCATTTATTTGGATAGGATAAGCCAAATATAATTGAATGCTAAGTATATGAATTTATTTTTAAATGAAACTTGAAAAATATTCAATATATTTAAATATAAGTTATTTTTATTCATTCTTATGGTATTTTGCAACCTTTATCTATTTCATAAAAGAATTTGATATAATTCTCTGCTTATTCGAAAAATCTAAAGGGATCTTGTTTCAACAATATTATTGATTATTATAAAGTATCTTCTTCTTATATAATCTTAATTATGTTTAGTACTCTAAAATCCATCCATTATCGATTCAGTCCTCTTCTTTAGTCTAATCTATAAATTTGTCAGAGAAAGTGATTTTCTGAAATTTTAATTATTAATATTTTGAACACACAATATCATTAAAATGAAGACTAAGAAAATTGCAAAATAGATTAACAAGATAAATGAGAGGATAAATAATAAATTTGATTATTTCAAAAAACTATATGACAAAGAATATATCATGATTGAAGGTTCAGAAACCACCAAACTTACACTATTATTTAGTTACTAGTTATACAATCAAAAATTATTTAAAATAATAACGCTTAGTATACTGAAATTCAATTTGATTCATTTTTGAATAGATCTAATTTGTTATTTCCAGCAGTTTTTATTAATAAAATGGTCTTTTACTTTTTAAGGTTACTTAATTTTTTCTTGATTTCTTAATAAAGCTAGATCATAAATACATTTTATTAAATACCATACTTTCATATAATACTATATTGATAGCTTATATACTATAGGATCATCAAGCTCTTATTTAGTTGTATTAATATGAATTTCTGTAAAATAGTGATTTTTAGATATTTCTGGATTCGAATCATATATTTATAAAATACAATTAAAAAAAAATTAAATCATTATCAACAACTTAAATGTAGAAGATCCAAGAAGTTAAGATATATTGTTCTGCTATTATACAGAACCCATTACAAATATATTATTTAAAACAAACTTAATTTCCTAGAAAAAGAAATACAAAAATTTTTAACATTTAATTTTGGTTTTTAAGAAAAGCCAGATGTTTAAAAACTAATAAATATTATAAATTTTTATTATTTTTAGTTATGAATCTTTAGAAAAAATTGAACGAAATTCAATTAGTTTAGGAGCCTACTTTATGTAAAGGTATTAATTAATTTAATGGAATCTCTTGGGATGAACTCGAAAGGAGATTTATTAACTCTACATTCTAAATCTTGTTGAAAGATTAAGAAATTTAATACATAAAAGATGGATCCATTATAAGACAGTATACTTTATTATTTAAGGAAAATAGGGATATTATTAAAGATAACTCAAAGTAACCTGAATACTTAACTAATTTAGAATAGATAAATTTTTTAAAATGGATTGGAAGTTATGATAATAATAATTAACAAATTGGTAAATGGAATGTAACTTGGAAGGGAGAAACTCTGTAAGAAATAGGAGGATATTATGATGAAGGAAAAAAATAAGGCCTATGGAAGGAATTATTCAAAAATTATTGGAAGTGATATTATTTTGTTATTTTAAAGTTAGGCTTAGGTATATGAATTTGGAGAATATCTGAATGACTAAAGGTAAGGTTATTGGACGTATATATATAAGGGAAAAGAAATGTATTCAAATTATTATTGTTAAAATAGAGCTGGAGGTTTATATAATTAGGCAGGTTTAAAACATGGAAAATGGATGTAACCAAATGAGAGTTTTTGGGATCAATCATAAGTAATACATTTTGGAGAATATTAAAATGGTAACAAAATTGGTATATGGGATATATGGGTTGATGAATAAGGAATTAATAATTAGATGTATAATTATTATTTTTATAATAACATCAACTTAATTTTAGTGGAGGTGGATTGTATGATGAAAAAGGACAAGAACTTAAAGTAGGAAACTGGATTGAGATAAGTAATAGATTTTGGTTTCATTCATGCTTAACTTATAATGGTGAATATAAAAAAGGTAAAAAAATAGGTTTTTGGAAGAGTTTTTGGAATGAAGGATCATAAATGTAAAATATAAAGCATCATATATATTTTTTTAGTGGTGGTGGTTTATATGATGAAGGAGGTAAAGAACTTAAAATTGGAAACTGGATTGATGTCAGTGATGGATTTTCTGATAGATCACTAATAACTT